AACCCTGTCTCTACAAAAAATAGAAAAATAAGCTGGACATGGTGGCACATGCTGGTAGTCCCAGATACTCAGGAGGCTGAGGTGAGAGAATTGCTTCAACCCATGAGGCAGAGGCAGAGGTTGCAGGGAGTCAAGATCACACCACTACATTCCAGCTTGGGTGACAGAACGAGATGCTGTCTCAAAAAATAAAAATAAAAAAAGAACATGTGACCCATGGGAGAAGGTCAAAATATCAACATTAACAGAGGCTGAGAAGTTGATTCCAACTCTCATGGATGACTTTGAGTGATTCAAGACTTGAGTGAAGGAAGTTACTGCAGATGTGGGGAAATAGATAACTAGAATTAGAAATGGAACAATTCTGATGTAATTTAATTGATATAATCTCATGATAAAACTTGAATAGATAAAGGCCAGGTGCAGTGGCTCATGCCTGTAATTCCAGCACTTTGGGAGGGGAAGGAGGGCGGATCATGAGGTCAGGAGTTCATGACCAGCCTGAACAACATGGTGAAACCCTGTCTCTACTAAAAAAACAAAACAAAAAGTAGTCAGGCATGGTGAAACCCCGTCTCTACTAAAAATACAGAAAGTAGCTGGACATGGTGGCACACGCCCGTAATCCCAGCTACTCAGGAAGCTGAGGCAGGAGAATCGCTTGAACCTGGGAGGCGGAGATTGCAGTGAGCAAAGATGGCGGCACTGCACTCCAGCCTGGGTGACAGAGCAAGACTCCATCTCAAAAAAAAAAACAACAAAACTTTAATAGATGAGGAGTTGCTTTCTATGGACAAGCAAAGAAAGTGATTTCTTGAGATAGAATCTACTCCTGGTGAAGATACTGTGAACATTGTGGAAAATGATAACAAAGCATTTAGAATATTACATAAACTAGCCAGGGAACAGTGGCTTACACCTATCCTCCCTGCACTTTGGGAGGCTGAGGCAGGCAGATTGCTTCAGCCCAGGAGTTCAGGACCAGCCTACGTAAAACGGCAAAACCTCAGCTCTACAAAATACATCATTAGCCAAGTGTGGTGGTGCAAGCCTGTAGTCCAAGTTACTCAGAAGGCTGAAGTGGGAGGATCACTTGAGCCCAGCGGGTGAAAGTTGCAGTGAGCCAAGATGGCACCATTGCACTCCAACCTAGGGGACGTAATGGGACTTTGTCTCAAAAAACAAGAGGAATATTGCATTAAAAAGTTTATTACGTGGCCAGGCGCAGTGGCTCACGCCTGTAATTCCAACACTTTGGGAGGCCGAGGCGGGCCTATCACAAGGTCAAGAGATCCAGATCATCCTGGCCAACATGGTGAAACCCCATCTCTACTAAAAATACAAAAAAATTAGAGGGGCGTGGTGGCACATGCCTGTGGTCCCAGCTACTGAGGCGGAAGAATCGCCTGAACCCAGGAGGCAGAGGTTGCAGTGAGCCGAGGTTGCACCACTGTACTCCAGCCTGGTGACAGAGCAAGACTCCATCCTAAAAAAAAAAAAAAAAGCTTATTACGCTGGGTGCAATGGCTTTGGCTCATGCCTGTAAACCCAGCACTCTGAGAGGCTGAGGCAGGCAGATCACTTGAGGTCAGGAGTTCGAGACTAGCCTGGCCAACATGGTGAAACCCCGCCTCTACTAAAAATATAAAATTTAGCCAAGCATGGAGGCACACACCCATAATCCCAGCTACTGAGGCGGCTGAGGCAGGAAAATTGCTCGAACCCGGGATGCAGAGGTTACAGTGAGCCAAGATCATGCCATAGCGTTCCAGCCTGGATGACAGAGTGAGACTCAAGGAAGAGTTGGTCAATGTGTCAAACTTCATTGCTGTTTTACTTTGAGAAACTGGCCCAGCCACCCCAACCTTCACCAACCACCAGTCTGATAAGTCAGCAGCCACCAACATGGAGCAAGACCCTCCACCAGCAAAAAGATTAAAGGTTCAGATGGTCGTTAGCACTATTTAGCAACAAAGTTTGTTGTTTTTTTTTTTTTAGAGTCTCACCAGGCTAGAGTGCAATGGCACAACCTCGGCTTACTGCAGCCTCCACCTTCTGGGTTCAAGTGATTCTCCTGACTCAGCCTCCTGAGTAGCTGGGACTACTGGCACATGCCACCACGCCCAGCTAATTTTTGTATTTTTAGTAAAGACAGGGTTTCGCCATGTTGGCCAGTATGGTCTTGATCTTGACCTCATGATCCGCCAGCCTCGGCCTCCCAAAGTGCCAGTATTACAGGTGTGAGCCACCACGCCCGGCTGCAACAAAGTATTTTTAAATAAAGGCATACTTTTAAAAGACATAATGCTGTTGCATACTTAAACTATTGCACACTTAATAGACTACAGTACAACACAGCTTTAATATAGACTGAGAAAAAATATGACTCATTTTATTGCTTTATTATGATTGTCTGGAATAGAATCCGTGATATCTCTGAGGTATACCTGTAAATTGCAAACCTCAAAACAAAGTTAGCACATCCAGGGTTTCCCAGAGGTGTTTAAACATAAAATTGTTTTTTCTATTACACATCCTATGAGACTAATATTTTCCCTAAGAAAAGCTGGCCTGGAGCAATGGTCTTCAAACTGTTCCTGAAGGCTCTAGGGTCCTAGATAGTGGTTCAATGTTACATGAGGGATGAGAATAAGGCCAACTGGATTCCTAGTTCTCCTTCCATACACCTCCACTTTAATCTGTTTTATGAAGGTGTTTTCCCTAAGGATGTATGTGTATGTATATATGGACATATACATATATTATTACATATGTTACCTATTTTCTATGTATACTATTAGCTGAAAATAGGTCTATATTGGAAAAAAGGGTTTGGTTGCTTTTAGAACTGTTTTTGGAAACTACCAGCCTAGGCTCTAGAGGACCTCTCAGGTTCCAAGCTACAGGGCTTGCTAACCTTACCCAAAGTTCATTGCTTTTGCTGCTGATGTCTTTCCAGACCATCAAAGGGCTGTCCACCTGTTCTGATTTTCCAAGTGGTGGTGTGGAAGGGGCTCAGAAAGGGATCACTGACAGTATCTCAACACAGATCAGGCAGCTTAGTCCCCAGGCACTTTCCGTCTATGGAATCACAGGCTGAAAATAGACCATTACATGCTACAAAAGTCTTAAATTGCTTCTAACCAGGCAGTGTAGTGAAGGGATTAAGAGCATGGATTCCACAGCCAAACTCCCTGGCTTCAATTCTTGGCTTTGCTGCTAACTAGCTGTGACCTTGGGCAAGTTTCTTAGTTTCCTCATCTTTAAAATGGAAGCGAAGATAATAATGTTGGCTAAATAAAACCAATGTGTCTGGGTGTGATGGGTCACACATGTAATCCCAGCACTTTGGGAGGCTGAAGCAGGCGGATCACTTCAGGTCAAGGGTTCGAGACTAGCCTCGCCAACATGGTGAAAACTCGTCTCTACTAAAAATATAAAAGTTAGCCAGGAGTGGTTGCAGGCACCTGTAATCCCAGCTGTTTGGGAGGCTGAGGCAGGATAATCAAACCTGAAAGGCAAGAGGCTACAGTGAGTTGAGATCGGGCCACTGCACTCCAGCCAGGGCAACAGAGTGGGATTCCATCTCAAAAACAAACAAACAAAAACCAATGTGACAATGGCTTTCTTTCTTTCTTTTTTTTTTTTTTTTGAGACGGAGTTTCGCTCTTGTTACCCAGGCTGGAGTGCAATGGCGCGATCTCGGCTCACCGCAATCTCCGTCTCCCGGGTTCAAGCAATTCTCCTGCCTCAGCCTCCCGAGTAGCTGGGACTACAGGCGTGTGCCACCATGCCCAGCTAATTTTTGTATTTTTAGTAGAGACGGGGTTTCACCATGTTGACCAGGATGGTCTCGATCTCTTGACCTCGTGATCCACCCGTCTCAGCCTCCCAAAGTGCTGGGATTATAGGCGTGAGCCACCGCGCCCGGCCAATGGCTTTCTTTCTATGTGAACTTATGAGTGGCGAGGCCCAGCTCTGGGCATTTTGATTTTTTTAGTGTTGAATATTCTATCACTGCTATCAAGGCGAGGCCTTCCACAACCCTGAAGATCCTGGAGTCATAGGACCTTACTCCTGGTCCTCCAAAATGGAGAATTGATTAGCAGAACTGGGATTCCTTGAATCAGTAACATTTCAAAAGCAATTTTGAAAATTTACATAGGATGATCATCTGTTAACTGTGCCATTCAGCACATCAAAGTAAACTGCCATCTACTGTCAGCACTAATTCATGAAAGGTAATTATATTATTATTATTTTGAGATGGAGTCTCATTCTGTTGCCTGGGCCAGCATGCAGTGGCACAATCTCAGCTCACTGCAACCTCCACCTCCTGGGTTCAAGCGATTCTCCTGCCTCAGCCTCCCAAGTAGCTGGGATTATAGGTGCCTGCCACCATGCCCAGCTAATTTTTAGTTTATTTGAGACAGAGTCTTACTCTGTCACCCAGGCTGGAGTGTAGTTGAGCAATCTTGGCTCACTGCAACCTCTGCCTCCCGGGTTCAAGTGATTCTCCTACCTAAGCCTCCTAAATAGCTGGGATTACAGGCATGTGCCACCACGCCCAGCTAATTTTTGTATTTTTAGTAGAGACGGGGTTTCATCATGTTGGTCAGGCTGGTCTTGAACTGCTGACTTCGTGATCCACCCGCCTCGGCCTCCCAAAGTGCTGGGATTACAGGCACGAACCACCACACGCAGCTGAAAGGTAATTTAACACCAAAAAAGTAGGAAGAACATCATCTCAGAATAAGATAGGACTTTTTTTTTTTTTTTTTTTTTTACTTATTCATTTACTGTTGCATGAGGGCCACAGCAGCAGGTAGCAGGGTGCCACGCTTGAGTGGGGACGACCAGATTGTTCTCGTTCTCCAATTGCCAACCTCAGTGGTGCAAGAGGAGATGGATATGGGAAGGGTATGATGTCACGGGCCCTGTGATGTCATGGAAGATTGGGGAAGGGAAGCAAAGCAAGGTGATGGGCGGCGGACTGTAGCAAAAACATGGAATGCTTCATGAATCTGCATGTCATCCTTGCTCAGGGGCCATGCTAGTCTTCTCTGTATCGTTCCAGTTTTACTACATGTGCTGCTGACGCGAGCACAGGACTTTAATCACATTTAGATTAGTTAAAAAATCATTTCTGAGTTTGTTTGTTTGTTTGTTTCTATTTCATCTTGAGCCAATGGCCAACGGCCAACTCCTATCTATGACCCAGTATTTGGCCAACACTGCTGGGCCCTTCCGAGAATTCCTGTACACATTGGGCATTATAACTAAACGCCTCCCTGAATGACCAGCTTGAAGCCTCAAAGCTGATCTGAGCATGACACTTTGCAAAAGTAAAGGTTTTGCTAATGATCCCAGAGAGTGCCACTGTGCTCAGAGGTGGTTGACCATAGGAAAATCAGGAAGAGGTTTTGTTTGTCTGTTTTTGAGACAGAGGTTTGTCTTTGTTGCCCAGGCTGGAGTGCAATGGCACGATCTCGGCTCGCAGCAACCTCCACCTCCTGGGTTCAAGTGATTCTCCTGCCTCAGAGTAGGTAGGATTATAGGCATGTGCCACCATGACCAACTAATTTTGTATTTTTAGTAGAGACGGGGTTTCTCTATGTTGGTCAGGCTGGTCTCGAACTCCCAACCTCAGGTAATCCGCCCGCCTCAGCCTCCCATAGTGCTGGGATTACAGGCGTGAACCACTGTGCCCGGCCAGGAAGAGGTATTTTAGGTGTTCCCTGTAGCACTTAATGGGGCCACTTAGAAACTTGACTCCAAGTCCAAGAAGCCAAGAAAGGCTCTGAGCTACCTGGGTGTGAAGAGTTTTTCTGCCCTGGACAAAGTCAGGACATAGGGACTCTATGCTGACCCTTCTGCTAACACAGAGTGACTTTTGGTAAGGACCTCAACCACTGAGATTAGGTTTGCTTCTCTATAAAGTAGAGGTGGTAATACCTACTCTGCATTTCTCAAGATTATGCAGAGACTCAAGTCATGGCTGTGAATGTGGTTTTAAAGAACAGTACAGTGATAAGGGAGTGAGTATTTGTAACTCTCAGCCCCTACTCCCTTCTAGTCAGGGCCCCAGGTGCCCCTACCACAAATATACTAAAGCACCAGCCACACTGGCTTATGCCTGTAATCCCAGCACTGTGGGAGGATCACTTGAGGCCAGGATTTCCAAACTGCCTTGGCAATAAGTGAGACCCCCATTGCTACAAACATTAAAAAGAAAGAAAGAAAAAGGATTTGTCAGGCATGGTAGCACACACATGTAGGTCTAGCTGCTCAAAAGGCTGAAGTAGGAATTCAAGGTTTCAACGAGCTATGATTGTATCACTGTATTCTAGCCTGGGTCACAGAGCAGGACTCTGTCTCTTAAAAAAAAAAAAAAAAAAAAAAAAAAAAAAAAATCATGCTGGTCAAGCCTGGAAAAAAAAAATAAATAAAAATTAAAAGGATTATACCAAGTACCAAGGACTCTTTCCTCCTCCCTTTCCCTCATCCATAGTACAGCACGCCAGGTATCTAGACTCCCAGGCCTTGGGTGAGGGCTATAGAGTAGGGAAGAACCATTGTTTTCTCTTTCTCAGAGCACATGGTCCCCAGGTTTCTCCTGGATAAAGTGAGCTGCTAAATTTAAACACTCAGGAATCCAGAAATACTCTTGGAATTCCAGCTTGGTGAGCTTGTTCAATAAGCTTCCTGTTAAACTAACAAAGAGTGATAGCAGAAGAACGCCTGGAGACATTCCATTGACCTGGGTCCAGGGAATTCTGCAGCTCAACTTTGTAGTGTGTTAGATTAGAAAGTAACTTTAGATTGGTATTTCTCAATTCTGGTTGAACATTAGACTCACCAGGGGATCCTCTGTAAAATGCCCATGCCCAACTTGTACCTCACACCAATTAAGTCAGAATTTTTAGGGGAGGAACCCAGATTTTTTTTTTTTTTTTTTGAGATGGAGTCTTGCTCTGTCACCAGGCTGGAAAGCAGTGGCATTGGGCTCACTGCAACCTCCACATCCAGAATTCAAGCAATTCTCCTGCCTTAGTCTTCCGAGTAGCTGGGATTACAGGCACATACCACTACATCCGACTAATTTTTGTTTTAGTAGAAATGGGGTTTCACCATGTTGGCCACGATGGTCTCGTTCGTGATCCACCTGCCTTGGCCTCCCAAAGTGCTGGGATTACAGGCATGAGCCACCATGCCCTGCTGATATTAGCATTTTTAAAGCTCCCCAGATGATTATAAGGTGTAGCCTACTTTAGGAACCACCACTCTAGGTGATCCAGGCAGAAGGAAAAACAGGCCTCGGGAATTTAAGATTTTTGTCTAAAGTCATACAGCTGCTTAGAGTTTGAGATCTCAGTTCAACAAGCTGATGGGAACAATGGTTAATTTTCATTGAGCATTTTACTCTAACGCAGAACAAGCACTAAGCACTTTACAGACACAATTAATCTTCACAATGATCATATGAGAAAACTGAGGCCCAGAGAGTTTGACTAGTTTGCTGAAGGTCAAAGCAACTAAATAGTGGCAGAGATCCAGTTCAACTGTTCAACCATGGTTGGAGCAGCAGACAAGATAGGGTAGGAACCCTGCCCTTAAGGAATATAGAGTCTAGTGGGAGGGACAGGAAGTGGGTGAGCCAACGATCTGATAAGGGTTACCATAAAATTAAACAAAGATTGTCAAGGAAGCCACTTATGGAATAGTCAAAGCCTCCCAGAGGAGGAAGCTTTAAAGGATGAGTGGAAGTTCAGTGAAAAGCAAGGAAAGGAGGAAGTGGGCCTAGCAGGTGGAAAGGTGACATTGGAGAGCCAGGTGAATGCTTGCAGCTGAGCAGCAATTCAGAGTGACAACGGATTACCTTGTTAGTGAGAGATGAGACTGAGGAAGTATGAAGACCAGATCATTAAGGCTAAGGAGTTTAAAAGAAAGAAGCTTTCAAGGATCAGCTATATACAAGGGTGTATTTAAAAGATTACTGAAGGTTGGGCACAGTGGTTCATGCCTACTGTGCCCAGCACTTTGGAAGGTTGAGACAGGCAGATCGTTTGAGCTTGGGATTCAAAAAAAAAGGGCAACATGATGAAATCCCATCCCTACAAAAAGTACTAAAATTAGCTGGGTGTGGTGGCACACACCTGTAGTCCTAGCTAATAGGGAGGCTCACCTGAGCCTGGGGAGGTGGAGGCTGCAGTGAGCCATGATTGTGCCACTACACTCCAGCTGGGGTGACAGAGTGGAAAAAAAAAAAAAAAAAGACCAGGCACAGTGGCTCACACCTATAATTCCAGCACTTTGGGAGGCCAAAGTGGGTGGATCACAAGATCAGGTGTTCAAGACCAGCCTGAGCAACATGGTGAAACCCTGTCTCTACTAAAAATACAAAAATTAGCCAGGAAAGGTGGCATGCGCCTGTAATGCCAGCTACTCAGGAGGCTGAGGCAGGAGAATCGCTTGAACCTGAGAGGTGGAGGCTGCAGTGAGTTGAGATCTCACCACTGCACTCTAGCCTGGGCGACTGAGACTCTGTCTCAAAAACAAAAATTGATTACTGGAGGATATTACCCCAAAAACATAGGTAACAAAAGAGAAAAGGCAAACTGGGCTACATAAAAACTTAAGGGCTTTTAAAATATACTGTATTATCAACAGAATAGGCTGGGCGCAGTGGTTCACGCCTGTAATTCCAGCACTTTGGGAGGCCAAGGGGGCAGATCGCCTGAGGTCAGGAGTTTGAGACCAGCCTGACCAACAGGGTGAAACCCCGTCTCTACTAAAAATACAAAATTTAGCCAGGTGGTGGCATGCGCCTGTAATCCCAGCTACTGAGGAGGCTGAGGCAGGAAAATCACTTGACCCTGGGAGGCGGAGGTTGCAGTGAGCGGAGACTGTGCATTGCACTCCAGCCTGAGCAACAGAGCAAGACACTGTCTCCAAACAAAACAAAACAAAAAACAGAATAAAAAGGCAAAAAGGCAACTCATAATGGAAGAAAATATTTGCAAATCATATATCTGATAATTGCTAATATCCAGAATACATAGAGGACCTCCATAACAAAAAAACAACCCAATTTAAAAATGGGCAACGTCGGCCAGGTGCAGTGGTTCACGCCTATAATCCCAGCACTTTGGGAGACTAGGACAGGTGAATCACCTGAGGTCAGGAGTTCTAGACCAGCTTCGCCAACATGGTAAAACCCCATCTCTACTAAAAATACAAAAATTAGCTGGGCATGGTGGCAAACGCCTGTAGTCCCAGCTACTTGGGAGGCTGAGGCAGGAGAATTGATTGAACCCGGGAGGCAGAGGTTGCGGTGAGCCGAGATCGTGCCACTGCACTCCAGCCTGGGTAACAATAGCAAAACTTCGTCTCAAAAAAAAAAAAAAAAAAAATTAGGGAAATGCAAATCAAAACCACAAGATACAGTGTCACCTCACACCCAGTATGATGGCTATTTTAAAAAGAAACAACAACAACAAAAAATAGAAAATAACCAGTGTTGGTGAAGATGTAGAGAAACTGGATCCCTGTGTAGTGCAGGTGGGAATGTAAAGCAATACAAACCACTGTGTGTGATGGCTCCTCAAAAAATTAAAAAGTAAAATTGCCATATGATTCAGCAATTCCACTTCTGGGTATACCCCAAAAAGAAAACAGGGTCTTGGCTGGGCGTGGTGGCTCATGTCTGTAATTCCAGCACTTTGGGAGGCTGAGGCGGGTGGATCACCTGAGGTCAGGAGTTCGAGACCAGCCTGGCCAACGTAGTGAAAACCCGTCTCTACTAAAAATACAAAAAATAAAAAATTAGCCGGGCCTGGTGGTATGAGCCTGTAGTACCAGCTACTTATTCGGGAGGCTGAGATAGGAGAATCACTCATACCTCTCAGGTTCAAGTGATTGCACCACCGCACTCCAGCCTGGGTAACAGAGCAAGATTCTATCTCAAAAAAGAAAGAAAGGAAGAAAGAGAGTAAGAGAGAAAGAAAGAAAACAGTGTCTTGAAGAGACACATGTACTCTTATGTTCCTAACAGCATTATTCACGACACTCAAAAGGCAGAAGCAACTCCAGTGTCCATCAGCAGAT